CATCTACGAATATTGCGTGGTACACAAAAACTTGATACATAACGGCCTTTCAACCTTCCCAGGTGCATATGCTGTCATTAGCCCACCGGGGTCACCGCTATGCTATCACTATTGCATCGATATGAACTATCGAAGCTGTAAACAGCCAACACGTAACGGATTTGGAGGAGGCATCACACACCGGTACTGAACACAGCTGAGCTGACAGCTTTTCGATTTGTATAATCTGTACCTCTATATACTCATTACTTCCTAGTGGTGATGTGATGTTGTTAATATACACCTCAGAATACTGAGCGGTACGCAAGAATTCTACCCTATGACCAAGTTGAACCCGCGTTTCACACTTACCGGGGATCCTCAATAAAATAAGACCGGAATAGAGGTGATATCCATAGCCCTTGTAAGGGTTAGAATATGATCAAACTATAAGCTAACCACTGGACGACTAGGAAATGAATAATTTTGAATATAATGTTGCTATAACATGCCATTTACTGAATACACCTGAGTATACGTCGTGTGCTCAATAACCTTCTCGGTGGCACGATGCAGCAACCCAATGTGAGGTACTGCCTTCATTATGACCTAAACTTCCATAAAAAACCAAATATAAGGATGCAATTTACGAGTTCAAACGAAATTATGGGATATTAGTTTTATACATAATTATAAAGAAATGGAATAAACAACTTCTTCTTTCAATTCTAGTACAAGTCAAAGCACACCGCAAAGAAAAGCTAAAGATCTATTGTTTTCACATTTCCGAAAAACTAAAGTGATCTGAAACACTCGAAAAGGAGAAATGGGCAGAAATTTATTTGGTCTTACAATGGTTGATTCCATTCTTTAGTTAGAATGTTAGAATGTACGTTATGACTTATCTAAAGAATATAGAAATGGAACGACGCTTCACATTTTTTCCGTGAAAAAAACAGCTACTGATGTAAAAATAAGTAGGGCCATAACGCTGTCATAATGTTAAAATCGTAAATAGTCTACAGAATAAGAAATTCTTCAATACAAACCCTACATATACCGTTTCTTACCCTGTTAAGTGTCTGCCTACACAGGAGCTGAGCTAAGAAGCTTATCGAATTTAGGCAATCCAATTTTTTCTCTCAAACTCGTCATAATGTTCGTTCATCCATACCGTCTCACATCGCCTGCGTTCTCAAGCATAAAACATTGAAAATGTTCAAGAATTGTTTCAGTGTGTAACTCACAATATTATATACTTAGGTATGTTGAGTGGTATGCAAAACATTCGACTTCAGGCAGAAGTTGAACACGCGTTTGACCCATACTACGAGCACCTGATACCACTACACCACCGATACGAGGCCTTGCTACTATTTTTTATTCGAAATAAACTATCAGAGCGGTCGGCAACAGACCTTTAGCGAGTCTGAACAATTAAGCACACATTGGCATTGGAGGTAGTTACACTGACAGCTACTGCATATGTATAATTTGAACAGATTCTTTGTTCTTAGTGCTTTTCAATAGTGGTATCATGTTCCGTCTCAAAAGTGGTTTTACAGATCATTATATGCACAAATTTCACATATCCAACAGCCGTCTGCGAAAATTGGGTTAATTAAGATATGTGCATACCATTATAGTGTCAGTTACGTCTATCTAGGTCGTGAAATCAACATGATGAACGACCTAGCACCAGAGCTGAGCAGGATAAAACAAGCGGCATGGGGAACGTTCAAGTCCAATGAAGATGTAGTGAAGAGGACAAAGAACATACGACTCCGTGCCCACCTTCTCGACTCGACAATTATCCCTGCCCTAACGTATGCAGCAGAAATCTGGTCGCTAGGTAAGCAGGATGAAAGATCACTTGCCGTTATCGAACGCGCAGTCGAAAGGTCGATGCTACGAGTATCCCGTATCTCGCAAATGAGAGAAAGGATCCGAAGTTCCGACCTACGTCAACGATCGAAAATCAGAGACGCCGTTCTACACGCCAGGATATCGAAAATAAGGTGGGCCGGACACGTGATGCGCTTCTACGACAACCGATGGACGAGAGCCGTTACCGACTGGATTCCTCGGGACGTCACGCGCTCTAAAGGAAGACCACTGACCCGTTGGTCCGATCTGTTCACGAAAGCGATAGAAGAAAGATATGATGCTCAGCGAATCCCTAGAGCGAGGAGGACCCACTGGGCTACTCTTGCACGCGACAGGGAAAAATGGAGGTGTTGCTGGTACCCGCTCGAGTCACTCGACGATCAACGGGACGACAGATGACAGGTGATACCAATATAGTATGTGGTTCATTGATTAGAGGGTGTTCCGCAACACATATGACCGATCAATCGATGATCGATAGTTCGATAACGCGCTCAAGGCCCACAAAACCTTCTCTCCTTTAGGCGCTAGTGAACTGCTACCTGACTTGTCTTGGAAGACAGCAGCATTGAGTAATACATCGGTAGGCCACTGCAAGTCATTAATAACTGATATGTGCTTAATCGTCTCAAACGATGACAAATGAAGACAATATATGACGCATCTTCAGCTTCATCACGTCAAAAGCATGGTTCTTTATTATTTGTGTGCTTACCACACCAAACCCATAAGAGTTTGGCTGTCGATAGCTACCATGGTTTATATCGAAGAGTGGTAGCAAAGCAGTGGGCATCGGTATACTGGTATCACGCGACCACAGTATGGGTGGAACGCGCGGGTTCAACTTCTGCCTAATGCGGAATATTGCATATCACTGAAATTCTCATATGCATACTAGTAACATTAGGCCACCTCTAAACACAGTAAAAATATAGAATTCAATTCTATTATGTTATATGGAGGCAGATGAAGAAACAACCTCTTTCGCTGGTCAAGAACTTTTCATGATAGTGCTAAAAATCACTAGAAAGCTTGAATCTCTGGCTACTGGTATACGTGCTAGCTTTTTGAAAAAGACCTTTATGTAACGCAGTAGCATTCAAAGTAGAATTATGTTTCACATTGGCCATGCGTTTTTACTATTGCTTCGTTGGAAGTACGAAAAGCAAATGGTAGTGTAGAGGAAACTTGTAGTATCTTAGTCATAACGTTTTGCTTACACTTTCCTTCGAAGCGGGAAAAGATCTCGATTTCATCGTTTGTCGCCGTTCAACGGAGAAGATTATAATTTCTTGAGTAGCATCTAAACAACCCCATTAACCCTTTGACTTTCACAGACCCAATCCCAACTACGATACACAGCATTACATTTAGAACTAAAGCTTCCACGTAGTTCCGCAGTTCTTAGTAGCCTTATCGGATTTATTTATCTCTAGAGCAAAAACATGTAGTTTGTTCGCTGAACGATGGGACCTAGATGCTCCTAGAATTACTAGGAACAACACCATAAACAGACAGCATCAGTTTGTGCGAGAGATAAACAAACCAAGCGTTACTATTGAGAGCTATGTGGAAGTTTGCAGTGTAGATGTAATGTTGTGTGTCATCACCATAACATAATTAGGTAAACCCGACGACACTACCGAGTACTATGTGGAAGCTTGCATTCTAGATCTAGTTCCGTGTGTCGTAGTACGGACTGGACCTGTAGAGGACAAAGGTGTAAAGACATTTACACCTTGGTTGTTCTAAGTTTTCAAATTACTGGTCGGAATCAAGCCACCCAGAGTTCTGCATCCATCAGATCAAGAGGCACTTCTCAGAAATGGTGTTAATTTCGGCAGAAGCGATGAGTGAAGGGCTTCGCCAACGAATGGCGTAGCTTTGCTCGGCTTGACTGTCACGTATGGAAATGTTGGCGCTCTATCTTGTCCACACTGTCGCACGTGAAAACTATGTTGTTACGTCCCTCATCCTTAACCGTCCACCTCAATGATTATCCAATACTGTGACTTTGCATAATCAGGGAATTTTGATGCCTCAAAGCTTTGTTTTTTCTGGAGCTGCGATTTTGTAAACTAAAGTATTCTTACTTCTCGTGACAACGACATAATATACCCAATGAGATTAGATTTGCAAGCCAAAATAATTTCCAATTGTCCATTCTACCAGAAAGTGGAAATGAAGCACTTTTATAGTTACGTTGAGAATCCACATGGGCATTTTTCGAATACTAGAAACATGTTGATGAGCTCTATGTAACAAATTGAAGTGAATAGTTGGTAAAATAAACAATTTGTTGAGAAAACCACGAATTATATGGAAAACTCAAGCATATATGGTGAACCAGTGGAGGAGTTATTGAGACCACGAAGTTCGTTTGAGAATTGACAATTTCCCATTACTGAAGTGCACGAGACGAATACTTGATGAATCTACCTGAAATTCTAGCATGTCGTGCTAGTCGCATTTACAACTTTTATGATGTATCCCTGCGCAGTGAAACATGTTGAGGGTCCAGAATCGTTGGAGAAACGTTTAGAATTTAAGTTTTCGAGATATTCCATGAATTACTGAGAGCTTCAAACACAAATAGTTCCTTGGGTAACACCATCGTGTCGCGCTGGAGGGAATGGTTCAGTATATAGGCCTCGAAATGATAAATTCGCCGAGATGTATAGCATGGACTCTAGAGATTTAACTCAATTGTGGTGAAAGAACAGAAGAAAACCACTAGCTAATTGTGATGGTTTTATTGTAGTGATTGATTCGAGCGAAGCAAATGGTATTAAAGGTCACTGTGATCATTTGGCCTGCGTTGTATGACGCCTACAAAGGTCATCTCGTGATTTGAGTGTTAGACTATTCAATGACATAGAATTATGTAACAAAATTTGTAAAACTTTCGCATCAGGCGGGACTAGAACCCGCACCTCACTCTTTCCGGGAGCGCGTTCTCTACCCGTTACACTACTGAAGCCCATTTTGCACACTACTCTTTCTACGCTACAACGCATTTATCTGTCAGCCGCCAACCGTCAACGGCCTGGTTCGTGCAGTCAGTCTCAACATTGAACTTAGTCACGCTGACAGATATTAAGTATTAAAAATCCAATGAGATCTTTGAAAAATGGGCGTCAGTAGTGAGACGGTTAGAGCACGCGCTCGTGGAAAGAGTGAGGTGCGGATTCAAGTCCTGCCTGACGCGAAAATTTTGCACATCACTCTACATATATGTATTTAAAACATCACATTACCGAAGAAGAGTTCAAATAAAAAATATCCTATATGACGACCCTCTAAAATTGTACGCATATAAAGAAATCAGGCAGAAAATAAACGAGATCATGTCATGTGTAACATTACCTTCCTTCTAGCTTCTTCACGAAGGTACGCACGATTGAGCAAATGAACATCTTCTGATTTGCTAATAATAAGATTACGGAACGTATAGAAGGGTTTGAAGCAGTTCCTTCCGTTTGGAAAGTTCTTCATTGTTCTTTCATTGAGAAACGAATGGAGAAAATATCGTTCCAAGTTGTTCATTAGTCATTTCGGTATTTTGTTAGTATAAACCAGCGCTTTTAATAGTTGTTAATATTGAGTTTTTTGATGAGTTTTAGCACCAGAGTAATGGACAATAAATTTATTAGTGTGGGAACTGGAGCTCCCACAGAGATTAGCAAAAGACGAGAAAGGGTAACTGCCCTACTGACGAGATCGCAAGATTGAAACACGCGTATCGGGCTCTATAAGTCAGCCCTCATTGACAGACCATTGACGTGCGTGGCTCAAAAATGATCACAAGGCTCTGAATAGTGTTACTAAGCCATTTTAATTACTTCTAGTGAGAATATTTAGTGCTTTTCGCTCTAGTGCAAGCTTATGAGAAGACTTAAATTAGTGAACGTGTAGCGTAGTGGATGGCAGTAATCTTGTTTGTAGAACCGATTGTCTGTTAATCTCGGCATAGAGACAATGACTCAGGGATTTCCTTTAATGAGCATGAGCAAGGTTCTTATTAGTACAATTTATTGAATACAATCTAATGCGGTGCACAATACAGTAATACACTGGCTAATGTTTCGGCGATATGACTCTCCATACAGTCAACAATGGTCATGTTGATTCTCAATCCACTCAGTCGTATACTTTCATTGCCCTGCAAAAGTAAACGTGATAAATAGGTTCGGTTCTTTTTTGTTAGACGGCGACACTTGGAGAAACGATTCCTTTTCATCGACAAAGATTTTTCGTTGCACTCTTACCAATCACTCGAAAGCCTAAATCTTTGGCTACTGATCTAAATAGCCGTGTTTTGAAACGTCATATTATAACGCTTCAGCTAAGGGAAAACATTTGTGTACACACTCGCATATTTCTCACAGGATAGAACTCTTCCTCTAGACAGTTAGTAATCATTCGATAGCGTAAGTTTTTTCGATTTCAATGCTGTGCTTATTTTCTGGAAAGATCTTTTCCTCGCAATGGATCAGAAATAAAATAATAAAATCGAGTTTTACATCTTCCACTCGTTGTTTAGCGGCTAATCTACGGTGAGGGTGTATGGTCGCCGTAGATTCAGTGCGACGGCCCACCGTTGTTTGATCGTATTACGTCGGCTC